GATAAGAATGGAGACTATTTCATTTAATAAATGTTTTGTTTTGATGTATAAGTCGTTCAGGTTTTTTCATCTGAAAAAGCGACATTAATTTCTTGACGATCTAATATAATTCAATATACATCTTTTCTAATATGATTATACATGGCCAATTTTACAGTGACCAAACATTTTATTAATTATTTATATATAAGCAGTCTGTCTTAATGTTGAGAAGAGTTAGATATCTGTCTAACTAGATAATCATTTTATATCATAATTGATTAATCGTGACTAGAAATAAATAGACTACATTTAAAATTGTCTATTTCCTATTCATTAGCACTGAATTAACTATCTGTCATTAAAACTAATTAAATGTTCAATAAACTAATATTTTAATATACAGATTTTTAGAATTGGGGTATATAGATTACCGCGATATTATTATTATAACAACAAATAGTATTGAATTGGTCAGTTATACGTTATATCCATTTGAGAATATACACTCAGATCATATATATATATATATATGTGTGTGTGTGTGTGTATGTATTCATAAATTCTATTTAGATATCCCTTATGTATTACTTTTTTCTCTTTATATAAAGCGACTCAAGTACGTACTTTGTGGGTTCTTGTTTGTTTGTTGACAAAGCTCACCAAAAGGCTATTTATGCCGTTCCCACCGCGGGTTTTGAAACCCAATTTTTAGTGTGATAAGTCCCCAGACTTACTATTGATTCGACGGGGGTCTACTTTGTGGAACTACGAATGCAAGCAACAGATGTTACACTACCAATAACGCGGAAGTAATATTTTGCTGCTAAATGGGAACTGTACACGTCCAAATATAATTATTTTACATCTGTATAACATACATATCAGCGTAGATTATTTGTTAGAGGGACGAAAGCAAGAATGAAAAAGATAAAAGCAATGGTAAGAATTAACCTTTATACTGTTTGATAATATATCTTTCGTAGACACGTATAGTTACATCAATATACATGCATATACATATTGCTCACACTTATATAGTTACTTAAACTACAAACTCCTAAGTGAGTGTTAGTTTAAGGCTTTATCAGTTTTATGCTGGTTGTCATATTACTATCAAAATTCATATTGTAATGGCATTATTTCTGTTTCTTTGATATTTGAAATAAACATCCACCAGGAACCTTAACGACGTCCGAAACGGCAATAATACATTCAAATTCATCTTCAGATGCCACAATGGCAGGTAGATTGCTTCTTCAGTGATAATGAATTACAGTAATTGAAAGGACGGAGCTTGGGCATGCTTTTGCACATCCTTCTAGGTAACGAGTAGCTATAGGGTCGTGTTGTTTTTTTAAATGTAGTTGCACGAACACGCGCCGTCTTGTTTGATCTTCTTTTGGATAGCAAGATACTTAGTTGAGCAGTGAATTCAATAGCCCGAGGCGGAGATTGCACACCACGAGCCCAACAGCTACTGGTTTTCTCACTATACTCTCGTTCTCTGTTTCTTGACAGGTGGAGCCGAAGAGACTCAGCCAAGCGTTAGACTAGACGACTTGAGGTTGGGAGCCACAAAAGCCAATGAAAATTCACATTTAACCTAATTACGTTATGAACATTAATGAACCATCATACTGAGTTGAAAGAAGATTTGCCTATAGCAAGCTACGAACAAACCGTTACACCTGTTGGAACATAGGACTTCGAGGGTTATCAACTTAGAAGGCAGTTCTACTTTTTACTTGCGTCTGTTTTATTTTCTTACTTCAAGTGAACTTCACTGCATTCTAACTATAATTTTTAACACTTGAATTAGCATTCTTAATCCAACAAAAATCAAGCTTTCACTTCGAACTAAATTACAATTATTTCGGCAAAGTACGGTTTTATTCAAGACAGTGTTTCTCGTCAAACTGTAAACTAATCTGTGGTGAGCTTATGAAGACTTGTCTTAAACCAACTCTGTCTTTTGGATTCGCCATCCTTAGATTCCTCCCACAACTTTAATGGACTTGAGCGTTCCTAAACGTTCCATATCGCCACCCGCGGTGCCCATTACACATTCTTTGGCGTCCTCTTTTCGAAAAGGCATTGCTCTTTCGTTTGCCTCGTCTGCCGGCACATCCACCGTAACTTCGGCCGCTGTGCCCGGCATGGTGCACTATCCTCACGCTTCGGCTCCAACGGCGGTTTCTCCTCAGCGGCCCCTGGATTTCTCTCCGAACGCTGTGTACGGGTCCGGCGAGGTAACAACGCCACCAGCTTTCACCTGTAACGTCACGACTTCTCCATTATTGTCAGGTAGGAATGCAGTATATTTTTTAAATAACAATATTGTAAAAGTATATATATAACAATATTTACGATACAAGTATTCTTCACAGGGTAATAGTTTTAACTGCAGACTTGTTTTACATGAAATAAAAAACATTCATACAAGTAACTGCTACACGTGCCCCACATGTTATAACATAGCATAGACATTACGATGACCAACAACACTTTATAAGGCTAACTGACATACAGTAATCCGACCTGCAAAATTTACAGCTTTGATTAAGAACCGAGTTTTCATCTCAATCGTTATATATATCAATACGCGATTTAAACCTTAATTGTGACATGTGAAATTTAAGTTGAATGTATAAGAATTAGAATTGGGTAATATATGTACATAAACGATATTTCAGAACATTTTATAATTCCCAATTCAACCATACGTCTTTTTTTTCCATTTACCAAAGCTACGGGATTACCCAAAACTGGCACCTGTATGAAATAATTTGTAACATAGTTCACATATAGATGTAAGTTTCCGGATTTCTAATAAGAAATACGAATAAAAATCCCAAGTTATTAAAATTCTGCGAGAAAATCTAAATGTTACATAATGAACATTAGAAGTGCTCTAATGATTATGAAAAACTGTGTCTTTGCGCGTGTTCACAATGAGGGTTTTATCTTTGTCAATGGACAATTAATTTCTTTTTCTGTCGAACATAAATTTATAAAGTTTTCGAAGGTACTAATAACGTAAAAGTATTGTTTTGTACGTTTCTACACGTATTAAAAAAAAAACTAATTTTTAGTATCTAGTGATACAGTGAAAACGTACAGGTTGTGTGTTAAAAATTTGGCTGTTAAATCTTACATCATTCCTCAAAGCCACAGGCAGATAGAGCCTTTGTCTAAAGAAGTTTGTGTTTAATATTCAATATCCCCCCTATTCATATACGTTTTACCGCAGTCTCGGTAATTACCCTAGAGGCATTTAAATTTCAATGTCTTACTTCTTACAAGTTCTTTTTCGAGAACTAAATCGACCAGGAAACAAACGATGATTAAGTATGTAGTTAGTAAGCGTAAATGTGTAGAGTTAGTTGGTATGTGTATATGACAGATCAGCATTTATTCGCTACGAAGTCGATGACTCAGTTTTTATTCCCGGATGTTAATTAACACAGATATTGCAAGCTCACTTTTGAATTAAGGTTTAGGTTGTTAATATTTAAGGTAAAAGTTGTTAATATTTAGTTTATATGGTGACTTGCAACTAGTTTTTCGACGAACTTTACAAGTCAGTGAAACGCATACGCAATTGAATTTCAAACACACACACACATATGATATATATATATATATATATATATATGTGAATTTTCCTGGACATTCGTGATTATTTAAAGTATTTCATACTTTTACACTATTTTTACAAATTAATCAAAATATCACAATTCAAAGAAACTTATAAATATATTATTCGAATTTACATTAAGTCCTGTACTTTATATTTTGATCATGGTGGTCCCCCCGTAGATCAGCGATAAGTTTAGGGACTCACAACGCTAAAATTCGATGTTCGTTTCCCCTCGGTGAACACAGCAGATAACCCAATGGCTTTGCTCTAAAACAAATAAAACAAGCTTTTGTTTATGGGATCTACCTATCCATGTATCTATCTAACAAAAATAATAATTTAAAACAAAACAGTTACTACAGTCTTGTTTTAATTACTCAATATAAATGACTTTTACATTAATTACTGCAATCGATTTTAGCTCCTTTGATCATGAGAAAGATGAATAAAAAAATATTTCACGGAATTCGGTTTTCTACTAAACAGGACATAGATAGGAAAGTAGAAGGTTTGGTAGAGAATAATTTTGAAATTCCAGAATCATGTGTCGTTAAATAACCTAATACACAACATAAAATATAAGGACAACAAGATACGCGTTGGTCCATCTAGGCTGTCCCATCCACTAAACTAAACTAAATTAATTTTAAAAAAATACACTCAAAGCCAGCACTTATCATTTGAATACTTAACAAACTTTCCCATGAACGCCCTTAAACGTACTACATCCACCAAATCTGAAGGCTACCCATTCTAAAGGTTAACCACACTATTAGAAAATAAAACTGTCTTAGCTGACAATGACTCCTACCCTACCTAAAGTTCTATTTGTGTCCCCTAGTCTTACCATTTTCACAGTTAAATACAAAAAAGGTAATGCATCGACACTATCAATTTCCGTAACATCCTTTAAAAACCTCAATCAGATCCCCTATTATTATTTTTCTTCAAAAGAAAACAGTTTCAGAGATATCAACCTGTCCTCAGATGACAACCTTTCCATCCTGTGTATCATCCTAGTAGCCCTCCTCTGAACTATTTCTAACAATTCAATGTCCTTCCTAAGGCAAGAACCCCAAGATTGAACATAATACTCCAAAGGAGATCTAACCAATGACCTATACAATGAAATTATAATCTCTTTATACTTAAATTCAGCATTTCTGCAGATACAACTTAAAAGTGTACTTAAATGGCTTTAGTGAATGATCGAATAGGACATTATATAATTTTCTACCATAACACTGTTAAGGTTAACTCCATCAGAATTATACTTGTAATTTAATTATAATAATCCATTGTAGTTATTACAATTAAAAACCATCTGTCATTTATTCAACCAACTCACCAAATAACCTAATCCTTTTGTAAAGTAGAATCTTTCTCATAACCAACAGCACACATGGCCTTAATATTATCAACAAGTTTAAGCTATTGATTGAATGACAATGCATATTGTTGTATAGATAGTTGAACTTATTTTCGACAGTTATGTACAACAAAACAGATGTAAGTTTTCTCTCTTATCTTAGATTTACGATTACTACAAAAAACATAATTTGTGAACGCAGTTAAATTGATTAACTAATATATGAGATACAGAAAACTTAAGTATATCCATCTGTATGGATATAATGTTTATTAAAAAAGCTGTGGAGTTATTGAGAACAAGACTTATTAAGATTAACTGCATTGTCTCTCTCTAAACAGTTGTAAGCTTGACACAAGCGTTAAAGCTGCATAGGGCAAAGTATGTCAGCAGCTGATAACTCGGAAATAGGGATTAATGGTATACATTCAGAGAAAAAGGTGCGAGTGGGTTGCGATTCCAACAAATAAAACTCTTGTTGCTGGCAAGGTGAGAATATACATCCTTAAGAGTGTAAATTTAGAACAAATAAAAGTTTGCACTCCAGTTGTGTATAATAAGGTGTGAATTTATAAAAAAAAGGAAAGTCACGTAAGAAAAATTAAAAAACAATCATTAACATAATACATAATAAGATAACTTTATGATCACTACAAATAATTATGAACATAATTTATTTGAGGACAGTAACTTCAAAATGTGTCACCTACAATTACTTCTGTGAAGCGTGTCTTTTTGAAAATATAAATTTTTGATACTTTGTTGCTGTGAAGTAAATTTTTCCGCAGAAAAATGTGAATTCACACATTTTTGGGTGTAACTTCATGCCCATTAAAGACTGAAATCTCTCTTTTTAGCGTGTAGAAAATAATTATAAAATTGAAGTAAAAATATGATAAATGTTTATAAACTGGATAACCGTTACGGTATATTTCACAGATATCTCACCAAGGACACATTTCTTATTTATTTATTAAGATCAACTGAATCACATCCGATTACTACACACTAAAATATGTGTTGATATTGACACTATATAAAAGTTGTCTGAAGAATACGTATTCAATGTTGCGTGGATATGCATTTCTCAAGCCCCCCCCCCCCCCACTGGCACAGCGGTATGTCTGCTGACTTACAACGCTAGAATCCGGATTTCGATACCCGTGGTGGGCAGAGCACAGATAGCCCTTGTGTAGCTTTATGCATAGTTAAAATAAACAAATAAACAAGTATTTCTCATATATTAGTTTTCTCACTCGGTTTTCAAGTAAATGTATAATCTATAAACAAAAGTATAACTACGCGTGATTTTATTTTCTGAACAGCATGCTGGTTATTTTCTATTTATTTTGAATACTATCTCTTATATCATATGGATCCTTGTGATCAAAGCACGAAATGTCACTAGTACATATATTATAACATTCTCACTATGGGGTTTATTTCAGTTGCTTTCTAAGGAATTTAGCATCAAATTTTCTACCCATTATTTCAAATATTTGAATTAATACCAGATGGAATATTAGATAAATATTGTCAATTGTTGCTTTCATTTTTTTGGTGAGCGTAATTTGTTTTACCACCATCATTGTTGCACAAATATGTCGAGTTAATCTAATCTCTGGACAAATTGGAGTGTAGTCATTGAACTCTGACTGTCACGAGAAACATTAATTTAGTTTAGCCAAAGAAGTTCAAGTTTTTAATACATGTGGAAAAAATAAGTTATTTGTTGTGATATTCTGAACCCATTTAATTTGGGTTGTAAGAAACTATCTCATGTGCACAAAAAAGCAATAGCATGAATATACCAAAATACCCAAGCTTATAGTTCTTTGATAATTAGCCACTTATAAAAAGAAATATCTTCTCACGCCCGTATTTTGAGTACTAACTCAAACAATTGTCTTCGTCAAACAAGTTTTACAAAGTACAAGTTCATCTGTCTAATTTAAACATATCGTTGAGCTACTTATATCTTTGAGTCATTTGCATTTTTAAAACAGACTTCACCCGCAATGTTGTATCCAAACAGTCATTGAATAGTTATTAATATTGAAACAGAAAAAAACAATTACGCATCCTGTCACTTGTTTTCGAAAATAATATCATAAAATATATGTTTCACTCTTTCGTAAGGGTTTATATTACGACATAGTATGATATAAAAATGTTCAGGATAAAAGTGATAATGATTATTCTACGTCAAACAATGATTATTTTCTATGATCAAAATGTTTTAGTTCTTAACATCTTCTGTTACCGTGATTAATATCTAGAAAGAAAGTTGTAAAG